AAATTTATTAAAATTTCGTGTAGGAGTATAACAATAGCAATATATTACTGCTTTGGCGTATCTTATCACTTTGCTTCTTCCTGCACTAAATTAATTATTAAAATTATTACAGTTGGCGTATTTTATCTCTATTGCTATACGAAATTATTTTATTATTATTAAAAAGTATTACGAATGAAAAGTAAAAATAAAACTAAATTAAAATGTTCAAAATATTTAAAATTGTTCGAAATATCAAGTAAAATATTTTTATTTTGGTTCTTGTTCTTTTTATTTGGTGAAAAGGAATCTCTTTTTTTTTTCCTTTTTTTTTTCCCGCAGCTATTTTTATATCTTACCCTTTGTTTACTTTCATCCACCATCATCCATAAACACGAGGATATTATCTTTCATCTTGGGTGAAGGATGATGCACAAATATAATTTCATCCAAATAGTGACATATATCATCCTCTATCATCCCCGTGACTCCGGCTATTTTCGTGCCGCCTCAATATGTTTCATTAAAAAAATAACTCAAAAGTATGGGATTTTAACAATATTAACAATATTAATTTTAATCAATCTTCTCTCTTTAACCTTTTTTTTACAATAGATATTAATGGAGTAAAAACTATAGGAAATCTTTAGAATTAATTCATAAAATGAATTTCATTCCATTTCCCTCTACCCCTAAAAAAATGATTTATATCATCCGAATGCCCTCCTAAAGGTGGATATGAAAATAGTAGATAGAGAAATATTATTGCAAGATTTAGTGTCGATGTGATTGAAATAGGATTTTATCAAATTTATAAAGATGTTAATGATTTAATAATGCAAAGATGACCCTTATTTTGTTTCGACCTTCTCCAACTCCAAATTATGCTAAACCTGATGTAACAAAATAATCGAAAGACTTGATGAGCTCATTAATTTAAAATTGACTTAACATATTCTGTTATTGGTGATATTTTACAACTCTTCGAAAAAGGTTATTCTTAAGAGTGTTTTAAAAAATCAAAATGGGTGTTATAAAGATCCTATCGAGAACTTCACAAATAAAGTTACAGAGGGATCAATTAAGAGAGGACGAAATATTTAAAATTCCTAATTTATGGTTTTTTAAATCAAAAATTAACTTATCATATCAATCGTATAGATATTAAAATTTCAGATTATGAAATACAATGAATGTAACGACCTTTGAAGAAATTCAAGAGAGAGCTTTCTGGAAGATGCTTCCACAAATTCTTCAAATGTTCATGGTGGTAATAATATTTTTAGTGGTAACCTAAGAAACAATAATATATATTCACTTAAATTATCATCTTGATTATATAATTGGGTTATTTGAGAATTTAATCGAGGGTATTCTAAAAACTCGTATCAGAATCAATCAACAACCTTTTGATTTTCCCTTTTTGGATTTACTTCCATAAATCACAAAACCTCGATGAACTCGCTTTCCTGCCAGATCTGTTATATCAGATATCGACTATTTTTTTAGCAGAGATTCTACAGTCTCTATTGTGACGTAAAGAATTTACAGAAATTATATAATTATTTAATATTATAATTCATTAGTTATTTATTGGTTACCTATTTTTAATTCAATTAGTTTTTACCATATTTGTCAAAATGCATCAGTAATCGCCGTACAAAGTATCTCAACAAAATTCTATTCATATATTCCAAATAATTTCTAAATTAGTCATTACTAATAAATTATTTAAATTAGTCATTACTAATAAATTATTTAAATTATAAAAATTTTTAAATGTCGCCATTTAACCAATTTTGGTGTGGGGACTCTGGTTTATGATTAATTTCCGAAAAATCGAATCCTTTTTCGGAAAAAAATTCTAATAGAATTTTTTTTTAAAAAAAAAATCAAGGACGCTCAATTGGTTTGTGTCAAAATTTAATCATTTGATTGCGCTATAATGTAACAAAGAAACTGCAGGAAAAAAAAACATGCGATCAAAGATTTTCATATAACCTGAAAATATAAAAACTTTATATTCTAAAAATGATTTAATTCGTTTATGCGTACAATTCCTACTGAAAAAATAATTTTAACCTTATTTTTTTTTATTATACAATAGCATCTAAATAAAAAAAAAGCTGTGATTATCGAAGCACATATTAATATTGAATGGATATTAATTTCTATTTTAAGAATATTTAATCCCAAAATTATTATTTATTCATATTCGGACTATAATTTTTAAACTATATGCTTATTACGTATTTTAATAAAACTACGTTTTAAGATCATCTCTTTTAAACTATTTCATAAACAAAAAAAAATAAAGAACGAAGATTTCACCAAATAATTTAGTTGCTTTAGAAAAGTATCATTCTTTGAAATATATGAATTATAATAATATATCATTTATATTTGTTCAATTTTTTTTTTAAAAAAAATATTCTTTTTTTTAATGATACTATCAATATCAAATGAAAGTTCCTATAACAATAATTAGTATAAAATATATTTTCGTAAAATGTTTATTAAAATGATTTTAATAATTTTGATAATACTTTTTTTTAAAAAGATTTTCTTGGTTCAGGAAAAATTACTTTATGAAATAGTCATTTCGACTTACTAATAGTTAATAATTATACTTAATAACAAGTCTTAAAATATCCTTTAAATTTATTATTATTAATAATATTATTTATTATTAATAATATTCTTTTTATTGTTTAATATATACATTAGAATGCTATTTTATATGATTTAATATATTAATACATGATTTGCGTGCAAACGAAGTTTTTCGGAATATGTAAATTGTTGTTTTACCTCAAAAATTTAATAAATAATAAAATATCCATAAATATACTTTATATAATGTATCTGAAATTTGCATTGCCTAATTTTGTATTTTTACATAAGAAAATATAAGTTTAGCAATTAAAAAGAACTCTCTATTTTTTTTAAGAACCATGTTCAAATTATTAGATCTCGTTAAGTCGTATTGTTATAACTTAATGAAGAAAATAATTCATAAAATTTTCATCATCCATAGTTATATAATATAAAGAGAATTATTAGATATATTTGGTTGCGAGATTTGATCTATATTTAGAAGTGAATAATCAGAGTAAGTAGTTTTCTGATACGTAAGTGAAGGCGGAGAATTAAAATAGGCGATATCTGGTGAGTTTATGTCAATGGAGAATTATAGCAGGTAGTGCCTAAAGAGTTTTGACCCATATTAACAAATTGATGACCAGAATAAATAGTGTCTGGTGGAGTTTGGTCCATAGGAGGAATGATTTCCAGAGAAACAATATTTGTACGGTTGCTTATTCCAGATTCGTTAACGAAACAAGAAGTGGGGACGATTGCTTTAAAGCGTTTTCTTAAACTCTTTAGATATCTGTTTGTAATAGTCTTCAACATATTCTGGCTCTTTTTTCAAGATTTACTTGTTAATCTTGACACCATTTTTACATGCAAGGTTAAAATTCTTGTGTATGTAATTAAATTCATTCATTACGATAAATCATAAATGTATTCATAGTTTAATTTACAATTTAATGCCACTTTTAAATGCATTTTTCTGATTTCCAACTTCATTATGTAGTATTAATTAAATAGAAATTTTTAAATTTTGTAAACGAACGTAGAAAACTTATTAGAAAAAACTTTGATGGGGACTGGTCCTATTAATATTTTACTTTAAATTAGTTATTTATTAAATAAATACATTTATGTTATACGATCGTTTAAAGACATACAGTATGCTTTTAATTTATTTTAACCGCTTAAAAACTTTTTTCCTATTGATTTTATATTTTTTTTCTTTATTTTGATAGGAAATAAATAATCTGAATTTTTACGTACCCAAATTCTTTTCAAACAAAAAAAAAAATTTTTTTTTATACTAGTTGTAACTGACGGTACAGGTAAACGATAAAGTAACATTGTATCACATATGTTTATTTTTACTGTTTTCACTATATACACTGAATACTGTATATTTCACATATATCTTCATTAAAAAAATAATAATACATGATTTACATTGTACGCAGATACACAAAACTTAATTACAGTATTATATTATAACAATTGTTATTTCTTATATACTTTATTTTTCTATTATCACATTTATACTATTATTTATTATATATTTATCTGTCATTTTGAGCTTTTAATTATTAGAATCAGACCATTTACAATTACAATAGCGCTCTTGATGTTATAACCAATGGCCATATTTCTTAGATTTATGCCTACAATGTGTATATGAATTAATAAGTTATAAATATTGTTTTAGGATGATCATGCAAATACTAATGATACCAGCCTTTCTATTTTTGTTGTAATAATTTCCTCTTTCTCTTTTCTCTTTCTCCTCTCTTCTCGGCTCATAAACTTTGAAAATATATAATTCAGAATATATTGCACAATTTAATAATGTCAATATTTACATGTATATTTTATTTTCTAAATCTTTTGTTTTTGTCGGGCAACAACATAGATCACTCATTAAATCATAAATAAATAATGAATAATTGGGTCTACAGTGCAATGTAGTTGATTAATGAATAATTAGGTGCGTGCACATGCATTTATAAGACTTTATTTAATATTTTTATTATATGAAAGACAATTTGTGCAACTCATGTAAGAAATTTTATAATATATCATCAAGACCAACTGCACAAACAAAATGAATCATCCGCAATATAAGCGAGCACACACTTTATTTAATTCTATTCGTTTGGGCTCTAATTTTATACTGTATACGTTCCGTTAATAAAGTGTATATTAGCAAATAATGGAATTTTGTCGAGATACTTTATACAGCTACGATTATTGACGCATTTTGGTAAATACGGTAAAAATTTCATTGAATTAAAAATTGAACATATGCTGACCAAATTGATGAGGAAAAACTTAAATCCAATCTATCTATTCCTGTATTCATTTCCGAGGACCCTAGTCAAATAAAAATAGAAGAATAACTGCTAAAGGAATTGATATGAAACTTTTTTTCATTTTTTGTCAGCAGGTCCGCACGTAATAAGTGACGATGAATAATATTATAGAATTAATTAATTCACCTATTCCATTCCACCCTAGACCTAAAATAATGATTTGCATCATTCAAAACCAAAAGATGAAATTTGACAATTAATGAACTATTTTTAATATGTATAAATGTGGATTGAATTATCAATTCGCGAAGGTGTAAGTGCAAGAATGATATAAAATCATATATTGCATTACATTAAACTGCATATACAAATACTAATATATAGAGGAAATGTATTTTAATTAAAATTATGATTTTTGTTCACATTTATTTAGCATTAAATTAAATAAATACTTTTTTTTTTTTTTGTAATGAGGTTCTTAAAATAAATAATTTAATATCTGTGATTGAAATTGCTCATTACTTTAATACGCAGATTTTTGTTGCTTGAATTTACTCAAATGTTAAGCATCAAATCTGTGTAATTTGTGAAATAGATTTAATATATTTTAAATAGCAGTATTGTATGCCAAATTGTGGTTTATAAACTTTGTCATAAAGAAAAAAAAAGAAAAGAAAAGAAAAGAAGGAACCTATTTTTAAGGGGTATATGGCTATATAGATTTCTTTCTTCAGGAATACTAATGTGAACTTTAAAAATGAAGCTGAAGAGGGACAATATGTAGAACCCGGAAATTTTTTTAGGCGTAAATATGTAATCTTACGATGCCTACGTTTATTATACGGAACATCGCGGTGAATATCAGTGCTATGGGGTGAAAATCATATAATATTATAGCCCAGAACTAGTGCTTCCTATCAGTTATACAAATTTTTTCCCTGAACTAACCCTAACCTTACTGAATTTTTACAGATTGACCATAAATTATCCAATGCGACATGCCGCAGGTGCGACAAAAGACAAAATCCATTTTTAAAATATAAACAAAAGATAATTATCTTCTCTCTTTATTTATTTTTTTTTTTAAGAAAAAAAATAACGAAAGAATTATAATTATCAATGAGAGATGAGAGAAGGAGTAAGAGCAGCAACAAAAGGTTAAAATGAACAAAGAGCAGGGACGAACTTTGTGAAAATAACGAGATATCTATATATTATAACATTTATTGTTTACTATTTTTATATCCACCTTTCGCAGAGCATTGAAGGTAAATCTTTTTTTTGGTCTAGGAGGGAATGGAATAAACTTCATTTTATGAGTTAATTCTATAATATTTTTCATATTTTTATATAAATGTCCGGTGTATCACTTATTATATGCGGACCTGCTGACAAAAAAATGATATCGTTTCCATTGAAAGTTAGTTCTTCGATTTTCATTTGAATAGAGACCTCGAAATTAAGAATGTGAATACAGGAATAGATAGATTGGAGGTCCAGTGAGATTAACTTTCATTTAAGTTTTTCCTCATCAGCATTATGTTCAATTTTAATTCGATGAACTTTTTATCGTATTTATTACAATAATCGCGCTGTAAAGTCGAAGCTCATGAAATAGAGCGTGTGCTGTCTTGATAAAATATTATAAAACCTCTTACATGATAATTTAAGTTACTGTATATGGGAGTCAACATTTAAATACGTTATTTCGATATTTTTTTTTTAATATATCAAAAACAGAATATCAAAAGTTGTGTAAGTTACACACTAATTTGTAAAAGTTGAGAGATTTAAATTACCATTTTCAGTTGTTTATGTAAGTTACACACTAATTTGTAAAAGTTGAGAGATCATTTTCGGTTGTTTATGAATTTCCGAAAATCTAATCATGAATGGTTATTAATTCGGAAAAAATTTCTTCCATCCGATATAATGGCAAGTTCAAGAGTTTAATTACGTGCTCAATTTGCTCAATTGTGAAAATTTCAACAATTGAATAATATAATTTGATTATAATAAAGAAATCAAAGGGGTTATATAACCTGAAATAGGCTCAAAATCTGGCAAAACTTTATAACGATATTATTCGCCCCTCCCATGCGAATTATAACCTTATTTTCATTTACGTTTCTATTTTTTTTTTGTTATATTATAAAAAAAGTCTTATTATCAAAGCAAAGATCAATCTCAAAAAAATTATTGATTCTTATCTTTTTTTTGGATTTTTAATATCGATTCAAATATTTCAATAAATTATTTTATTGTTAAATTTATTAAATTCAAAATGTTTTTATGCACACGCAAGGCAAATCATTTAAATTTAACATCACGTGTAAGTCACGAAAAAAAAGAAATTTTCCTTTTTTTCACTTTTTTTCCTTTTTCTCACTTTTTTTCAGATTAACAAAACAATAACAAAAAAATGATAAAAAATAAATATTGTACTAGTCTTCTTTATATAACTCATTATTTAATCATAAAATGCGATAATCTAATTTATTATAATTTAGTGAAAAATTTTTATATAAATAACTTCTTCGCGAACAACAAAAAAAAATTAGAATTTTTTAGTTAAATATGTCCCTTTCTATTAATGACCAAAATATTGCAAACAGAGTTAAAGTCCCATTTCCTCCATCTATTAGCATAGACGAAATTGTAAAAATACACTTGAAAAATAGAATCAAGAGTGTGAATCAGACTATGAATTCGTTCATGATTTATCGAAAAAGATATAATCATATAGTTGCAAAATTTAATCTCTCAAGTAAAGATGTATCCAAATTTGTCAGCATTTCATGGAAAAATGAGCCAGAATATGTTAAAGACTATTACCGACAGATGGCAAAAAATGTAAAAAAATGTTTCAAGAAAATGTTCCTTTTCATTGTTTTATCAACAGAAATCTATCTGATACAAATGATAATCACGTCCCTTTAGATACCTCTAATCCTTCACTTCTTAATACAAGTTTAAACTCCCCTCCCCCTCTTAATATAGAACAACCAATCGAATCTGTCAATTTCAGAAATGATCTTTACGCATATATGATGAATATGGATGATAATGAATTTATGAACTATCTTTCTGAGGATATGGCTTTAACTTATAGCACAATTATTCAATCATTATCGTGATTTATATTTTGCGAACTATAGAATTATGTCAGATAGCACATTAAAGAGTATAAATATGATTGTTTATTACGAAGTGTATTAATTTACTTTAGTAAAAACAGAGCTTTGGGTATATACTTTATCGGAATTTTATATATTTATATATATATTAGGTCAAGATGTGTCGTCACCTAAACCATAATAACATGTATCGTGAAAGAATAGCCCATTTTTTATTCATTTATCTGGATAGCTATGACCATATCATATGACCTAAGTAAATTATGATAACATATTTAAAAAAAATATGTATATCACACGTACTTTTAATATAGCACGTTGGATCAACAATAAAATTGTAATAATACTTATCATTATATAAAATATGAATTATAACATAATAATAACAACACGATCTTTCTTAATATAGACCACATTCTTTTTTCCCCTCTGAACATATGTATATCGTTATTATTATATTGTACACATAAAATTCTTTCTTTAAAAAAAAAATTATTTATGCACATATATGAAATAAATAAGTTGTAGTTATAATATCAAAAACGGTTACATATATAAATAATTAAGTTTACGATACACACAAAGAAAATTATATAACGCTTTATTTATTTTTTCGTATAAAATTTCATCCAAATATTTCTCCTCCCACTTTTAAAAACGTCAATAGTAATTTGATTTTCGATATACACGTTGAATGTGCAAAAATAAATAATCGGAAAACATTGATTTTCCATATAACTTAATATTATCTTGTTAGAGATTGTATCTCATCTAAATGGAGCACACGCTTTATTTCATTCTATTCATATACTCACCATTTATACCTATATTATAACAATTATTATTTCATCATTATTATAACATTTATATTATTATTGATTATTATTGATATTCTTGATATTTATCATCGTAACCTTTTGATTACCGGAATCAGGCTATTTTACAATTACAAGATGTTGTAATAAATTGCCATATTATTAGATTTATGTCTATAAACGTGTATACGAACTAGACTAATTATGTAAGTGGGACTCCCACAGCAAAAACAGGTTCTCGGCTCAAAAAATTTTTTTTGAGAAAATGAGTTTAAACTTTTTTTTTTTTGAATTAATATACATATAATTATAACAAAATCTCAAAAAAATTTTTTTGAGCCGAGAACCTGTTTTTTTGCTATGGGAGACTCTAAATACTAATGGCACCAACTTTTCTATTTTTTTGCAATAATTTTCTCTTTCTCTTTTCTCTTTCTCCTCTCTTCTCGGCTCATTTTGCCATGAAATGCAGATAATCTTTAATTGAAAGATTAACTTTGAAAATATGATTCCGGATATATTACATAATTTAATAATGCAATAATTACATATATATCTTATTTCCAAGTCCTCCTTGCTTTTGTAGGGACTGGAAAAAACACAGATTATTCATTAAAATTATGAATAATTGGGTTTACAAGTGCACAAGTGCAATATATTTAGAAACACTTGATTAATGAATAATTAGGTACGTGCACATATATTTAAAAAAAATTTAATTAATAAATAAGACTCTCTAGTTATAAAAAAAATTAATATTTTATTATATTGTCGCGGAATGCGCAAATCAGTCTCAATAAGTTTAGGATAATCACACGATAATTCAATATGCCGCTAACCACTTCTCTTGTGCGCAATATCACGAAACACAGTAAGATCAGGCAATCAGTCGATCTAAACCTGCTTACTAACACTC